TTTAGAGCGTAGTTTTTCTTCCAGGCCCGGTTATTTCAAAACTGTTAAAAAATCTTCAAAACTAAGATCCCATCATCTTATTCCTGTGGAAGAACTTCTTCTTCTTCTTGATTTGTTTTTGTTTTGGCAATCAGTCACAGTTGACTATTTTTGCCACACACTATTTTTATGAATTATTTATATATATACATATGTACAATTTCATGTCATAAATGACTATTTTTTTTTCTCTTTCCATCCTCTTTCCTTCCTCTTTTTTTCTTTTTAGACTCTATAACTTTTTTTAGAGAGAAAATTCAATAAATTAATAATTTTGGAAAGAGACGACGGCCTAGCAAGTTGTACGTACGTACTTGTGTTTACGCGCACGTGCGCGTTCAAATATCACCTCACGTATGCACATGTGTACTTCGCACTTACCCCCACCCTTTTCAAAATGCCATCTTACCAGTCTTTGAGGTATATTTCGCAGACTTTCGGTTTTAACCTAGGTCACTCCGGCATAGGTGAGGGGGTGCCAGCTAGCATGTGATGTTGGAGGTGATCACCGAATTGTTAGAAAAAGTAAAAGGTCAAATTAGTTACAAGTATTGTGGGCTTTATTGGTGCAAGAAAAAGGAAAAGAGAAGAAAAGAAGAAGAAAAAAAAAAAAAAAAAAAAAAAAAAAAAAAAAAAAAAAAAAACATCAACAACAATTTAATGGTTTTGATACAGCCGCTTTGTTCTTAAAACAAAGCGAACTATTGCTTTTTGTTTAACTATTTCTGAAAGTTTAAGTAGTGTCATGATTTCCTGTGGATGTGATAAATCAGTTTCTACTAGTAACATAGCTCTTTCTATTAACGCGAGTATTGAGCGTAGTCTTTCCTCCAGACCCGGTAATTCAAAAGTTAAAAAAAAAAAAAAAAAAAAAAAAACCTTTTAAACTAAGATCCCTCCATCTTCCAAGTTAAGACCCGGTAATAAAGCATGGTATTAGAGAGTAGTCTTTACTTCAGACTCGGTTATTTTAAAAAAATGAAAAATCTTTAAACTAAGACCTCACCATCTCATTCCTGTGGAATAACATGGGTATAGAGCGTAGTCTTTTCTCCAGACCCGGTTATTTCAAAAGAAATAGAAATGTAAACAAATCTTCGAAACTAAGACCCACCATCTTGTTCTTCTTTTTTTTCACTTAAAAATAAATCGCATTATTACATATGTGGATACAACAAGTCACAAATAAATGATTGTTCGGCGGTCACACGAACTGACGAATCAGTCAAAATGGTCCATATATATATATATATATATATAACACACAGAGGAGGGACCGGTTCGATGGTTCGTTGACCGTCGACGGTTTTTTAATCATGTAAATATTCTAACGCCCACAAATATCCTAGAATTCAATGTTCGTAGACAAAAAAGTAATCGAATAAATAACCTTAAATGCCGATTGTTCTATGCATGTGATTATGAAATATGTCTTCTTTTTTATTAATGTTTTCTTGTCATAACAGTCTTTGCTGGGATTGACATGAAGATGGGTCTAATTACTGAATTTCTGAAATTTCTGTGTGAACTTTATTACTGATTCCCTGTTTTTATCTCATTCAATCTTAATATTCTACGTTCTTAGGCCTACCTCCTCAAAATCAAATAAACATCAAACAATTTAAAATATCGAAAAATGATAAAAATTAATATATGCAAACCCGGTCACAAGATATAAGTTTCATATTTATTTTCCACATTGCATTATCCTCAGGACATGTGCGAAGTACAATACACAGTCATTTATAAAATATAATAGACTAGCCCAGTAGCTTACGTCTCGACATTTTGTGTGATAAAGTGACGAGATATTATGACAGCACCAATTTTAACCCCTACAAATTTTTTTTGTACAGCGTACCTGACATTGTTTTGTATCTATGACATTTTTACCTCTGACATTTTTACCTCTAACATTTTTACCTATGACATTTTTACCTATGACATTTTTACCTCTGACATTTTTACCTTTGAATTTTTTACCTCTGACAAGGCTCTAACATTTTTACCTATGACATTTTTACCTCTGACATTTTTACCTCTAACATTTTTACCTCTGACATTTTTTCCTCTGACATTTTTACCTCTGACATTTTTTTCCTCTGACATTTTTACCTCTGACATTTTTACTTGGCACCGATGCAAGTGTTATAGAACATGTGGCGTTATAGTTGTCCATTCCCTAAGATTATGTGTTCAGTCGCACAGGATTAATTTTGTTTAACCTAGATTGCGGTATGGAAGCTGGTCAGGAATTCGTCAAACTGGAGAAATAGCAACGATTGAATAATTAATTAAATAGTTGGTAGTTCAGGCAAGAATATGTTTACGCGATACACAGGGGCAATCAATAAAAACGACAATTAAAACATATAAAGATCTAACGATAAAGCAGCCCCGTAAAGTCCTACGCCGAAGCTGTTTCTGGGAGATCTTTGGATTTCAGTGCAGTCAAACAGAGGTCACGACTGAAACCAGCCTTCAGACCATCCAAGGTGGACATGAAAGACTGGGCTATATATACAATTTGTAAGAAGGGTATTGAATTAAGTGAAAGTTTGACAAAATCTAGTGATGATCCGAAAATTATAGTTGACGGTCGAAAATATAAGTTCCCTTGTGGGAACTGTGATAAGCCAGTCAAATGTAATCAACACGGCCTTCTGTGTTCTTATTGTAAAAAAAAGGTTTCACACTAATTGTCAAGCTATCAGTTTTTCAGAGTACCGCAGGTTATATTATGAATGCCCTGATGAGAAGTGGAATTGTTTAACATGTTGTCTGCCATCTTTTTGTGACTCAATATTTACAGACGATTGTTTAGAGAAAGAAAGCCAAAACGAGGATAGACTAAAAGAAAACTATTTTAAGGTAACGCGCGTTACACCTGAAAAGCAAGCGAAAGCAAGACTAATTCAGCCAAACCTCAGAGATGAAAACACTTCTCTTTATCAAGAATTTGAAGAAAAGTTTAAAATTAAAGGTCTTCATTTTTTACACCTTAAACTGAAGTCTGTTCTAAACAAGATATCGGAACTTAAAATTCTTTTTAAAAGAAAAGGGCTGTCTATTATTGCTTTCACTGAAACATGGTTAAACAATTCCATAAATGATGAAGAAATTGAAATAGACGGATATAAAATCATAAGCCATGATCGATCCTCTGGCTCTGGAGGTGGTGTATGTTTCTATATCAGAAATTATATTGCATTCAATATTATGGATGCTATAAGTACTGGAGATACGGAATCCCTGTGGATAAATTTGCTTATACCAAGATCAAAACCAATTGTTGTTGGCGTTTTGTATCGACCTCCGAAAAACAATTGTTTATCGAGAAATTGTCCAATATTCTTGATACATTAAAGAAGGATGACGAAATAATTCTTTTAGGAGACATGAATATTTGTCTTCTTCGCAAATCGCCACTGGCTAAAAAATATATTGACTTGTTGAGTCTTCATGGGTTTAGTCAACTCATTAAAGAGGCAACACGCGTTACACCTACATGTTCTTCTCTATTGGATCATGTTAGTTGTACCAAATAAAATAAAATAAGTCAAAGTGGGGTCATTGATCTAGGTATTAGCGACCATTATTTTACTTTCTGTACACGGAAAAATGTTAGACTGGCTATAGGTCATCACAGGACTAATGATATCAGATCCATGAAAAAATATACAGAAGAGTCTTTCAATCTTCAACTATCTGTTGTTGATTGGTCACGAATAACTGACTGTACATATTTAAATGAGGCATGGTCAATATTTCAACATGTTTTTATCTCAAATTTGAATATGATAGCGCCACTGAAACGAATAAGAATAAAACAAAGATCAGAAACTTGGGTGACTAAAGATATTCTTTCCCTAATTCAAGAGAGAAATATAGTATACAAACAAATGGAGGAAAAAAGCAAAAGATGAGAAGCTCTATAAAAGATACAGAGTATTAAGAAATATGGTCCAAAGAGAGGTGAAAAAGGCTAAACTCGATTACTTACAAAACAAGATAGAAGAAAATAAACAAGATTCGAAAAAACTTTGGCAGAATCTAAAAAGCTTAGGGTTGAAAAATAAGAAGCGAAAAAAACAAGAATCTGTCATTAAAATTGATGGGGAATTATGTCATGATAAGATGGCCATCGCTGATGAATTCAATTCTCATTTCACAAATGTGGCTGCCAAATTAGTAGACAAACTCCCCCCTTCCAAAGACTTTTTCAGCACAGACAATGATTGTATTCGTGACTTTTACGAAAGAAAAGGTGTACGTGAAAACAGCTTCGAGTTATTACCAATCAGTGAACAATTTGTTTTCAAAGAGTTACGTAAGTTGAATGCATCAAAAAGTACTGGGTTAGACTTGATTTCAGCTAAATTTCTAAAAGATGGTGCGAAGGTTTTATTTAAGCCTCTAAGTTACTTAATGAACCTATCTATCTTGACGAGTACTTTTCCAGAGGATATGAAAATAGCAAAAGTGACTCCACTTTATAAAAAGAAAGATAAAACTGATGTTAGCAACTATAGACCTATTAGTGTTTTAAGCGTAGCATCAAAGATTCTAGAAAAATCGGTCTGTGTTCAAATTGAAAGATACTTCAAAGAAAATGATATAATTTATGAATTTCGATCTGGTTTTTGACATGATTATTCGACTGAAACATGTCTAATTCATTTGACAGATTATTTGAGGAGAGAAACTTCCCAAGGGCGCTTTGTTGGTATGGTGCTTCTTGATCTGCAAACAGCTTTTGATACAGTTAATCATTGCGTCTTATTGAAGAAGTTACAACTAATGGGTTTTGATAAGGCAAGTTTAGATTGGTTTAGATCAAAGACGTTTAAATATAATTACTAGACGGAAAGCAGCACGCGCGGAAACCATGCAGATGAATGGGATTAGGCTCCGCCTCTTTTGGATCATTTGAAGACAAAATAAGCCACCGAGGCGGCTTTTTGATTGGATAAGTGCCTCATGAATATGTATTTTATCGATAGTATCGTTTAAGAAACCGGATAATATATTTGACCTCATTGCGTCACTTTAATTATGCAGATTTATGCACGACGCTACTATACACTCGCACAAACTGAGAAGAGTTAGTTCATTGAGAATGGGTGAGTAATTGATTGAAATATGAGTAGATTAAGTGAATTTTGTCATCAATTTTGAAAAAGCTGCAATAGCCTTCGTGATCTACGGTAATTTCGTTACATTGTGAGACCATTCTCAACAGATTTTTGGGGAAAAGACTAGGAAAATATTGCTCTTGAAATTGCACTTTGATTTTCATCGTCATGAAGTAGTTTGACTGCGGTTTGCTGTCATTTCACCCTAGTACTCCAGTTAGGGCCCCGGGGTTCCGGCAGGCCCACCCCTGGGAATTTCGGTGCTCATTTGCATCAAGATCAAACTTTCTAATCAAGTTTTATTTGAGATTTGATCGTCATCATGAATCTAATTCACCAATCACCGATTTAATTTAAATCTAGATTTAACGTTACACCTTAAAATAATCTACGAAGCATGATTTTTTTGATAATCCAAGTGGATTAATTCTTGTTAAAATCTTTAGTAGATGTGGACTCTGAGTCTGATGGCTTTACTTATCAATATCGGTGCCATCCGTTCGCTCAGTTGCATACGCGGTGCGTGTCAACTTTATTTAGACCAAAATTATCTGTGACCATTGATAATCAAACAACTCCAAATCCTATTCATTTAGATGTAAACCTGAAACTTAAGGCCCGGTCACACAGCCTTTCGCGTCTGTATCGCGGGTAAAATTTCGCGAATTTTTTTTTGCCCGCGGTTGCCCGTGGTGGAAAATGTGCAAAATTGGCTTACCCGCGGTTTACCCGTGGTATGCCCGCGGAACAGACGCCGGCGACTGTTCCGCGTCCTTATCGCGGGTGAAGCGCGGCGGTACCGCGGCCTACCACGCTTACACGCGGTACACACGCTAATGCACGTGATAACAACGCGGTACAGACGCGGAACAAACGTGCTATGACCGTGCTCCACCCGCGATTACCCGCTAAAATTTCGCGTCCAATTCCGCGTGTAACCACGTCTTAACCGCGGCCGTAGCACGTCCTAGCACGTTCGTTCCGCGTCTGTACCGCGTCTTTACCGCGTGTGTACCACGTGTACCGCCCGCGATTACCCGCGGTCTAAATTTTTGGGCAGCCCAAAACTTTTTCGCGCGGCCAACCGCTTGTGAATTTCTTACCGCGTGTAACGACGGGTAAAGTACGGCTGTATCGCGTCTTTATCGCGACCTCAAAGCGTCCAACAGCGTCTGCTTCACGGGCAGAAATTTTTGGCCGTGATTCGGCCGCGATACGCCCGTTGAGGGCTGTGTGACCGGGCCTTTATTAATAAAATATATTTAAAAAACATCAACACTAGGATTTGTTTATTTAATATTTAGATTTTGTGTGGATCCAGCGTGCTTGTCAAGTTATCATTATACTACTACTAGACCTAGGCCTAGTACTAGATCTAGATCTAGACCCTAGCTATCAGTGGCGTACGCAGGATTTTTTCAAGGGGGGGGGGGGTAAGAGGATTTTTTTTTTTGGGGGGGGGGAGTCATCTTTTTTAGGTCATCCATTAAGATTTATTTTTTTTAATTTAATTTAAAAAAAAAATCAACACTCAAAAAGGGGGGTTCTAGAAAAAAAGCTCAAGGGGGTGGGGGGGGGGGTAACCCCCCCCCCCCCCCCCCCCCCCCCACTGCGTACGTGCCTGACCCCTATCAATTCTTTTAATATATTAGAGATTTTTTTCTTCTCCAAATTGTGCGGTTCATGTTGATAAATCTATGTATTAAGAGAAGACCCCTAGTCCACAATTATGTTTACTTATGTAGATCTGGTCCACTTCTTCTTGTCTTAATAAACCAATTCTACTTAAGACTACTTTATATGTATAGGCCATATAAAGCACTTTTTGAAGCACAAGTTAAATCTTCCATTTAATTTTAATTTGTACTGTGGGCCATTAAATTGGAATGTAGATTTCCACACCATATTAAAATTAAGGCCAACCATGACATGAAAAATAGCTTTTATGCTAGATCTATTTTTATTTTGTTAAGTAGAAAGGGACGCCTTGATTGTCATATTGATTTTGTTTTCTTTTTGTTCCAACAGATTGAAACTGATGAAGATCGAGCTGGAAGGAGTTAACTGATGAGTAGACATTACAACATTTCTTATATTTGCAAGATGAAGCTGAAAGTCCCATGCAGGTAACATTTTCAGGATATTTAGCACACAAATATTAAACGACCACCTATTAATTCACTAAAAAAGAAAATGGAACTAAGTTTATGTTGCAGGTGTATATAGTGGAGGGGATATTTTATTCTAGTTCTTCCCTTTCTTTGTTTATTAAGGGATTTGTCCTTATTTACAGGAGGTCCTGTATGTAGAAGAACGATGTCTAATGCACATTCAAAGCACTACATAATAATAACAATAATGATCATACATGTAGGGTATACACAGGACCCCTTATTACTTTTTTGTTGTAAGTGGTCCTTTCACTTCTTGAGCAATGAAGATGAAGAAGAACACAACATAAGATTAATTAAAGTCTGTTTATAGGATATGATTGATATGTATCTATTATTATCACTTTTTAATTGAAGTACCTACATCGTTTTCTCTTATGTAGGATGATGCTTCTCTACAGTGGATGATGAAGGCATGCTGATTACAAACCCAGGAGAGGAACAAAGAACAGATATTCACAGAATCATATCTAGAGATGCGGGCCTACTACACTTCATACGAGCAAGTGTGCTAAAGTAATATACAATGTAGGTACCCCCAATAAACTATTGTAGAACACATATCATGCAGAAAGTTATAGATCTGACAAACATATTTTTCATTATCCGTTACTTGTAAAAGAATACTTGACTGAATATCACAATTGTGATTTAGATTTAAAATAAAATGTTGATATAGATGAAATATAAGTCTACATTACGTATGTTTTAATATCATTATTTCCAGTACATTCTCTGGTACAAGTTGTTTGGTCATTTTATGTCCCATACTTAACCGAGTATTATTCAATTATGAGCACAAGTTCACAATACAAGTACATTGTACACGTATTACTTATTTCATACCTTGTCTGATCCAAGCTCCAGCAGGCTTATCATCTTAACGGGATCATCAGAAATAATCTAAGATGTGGTCAGTAACTAGTCTTGTAGGAAAAATAGTTTTGGTTTGCCAACTATAACCCCAAGTGAATTTCAGTCCTTTGTCATGTTGTCAGAGCAGGTATCAGTGTGTATGTTATTAGTCATTGTTGTTTTTCTTATACACTGTATCTTATTTCATTTTTCCATTCAACAGACTTGGGTTATCATTACAGCCCTTTCTTCTGAAAACTAGGCTACAACTTTATTGATGAATGCAGGAGACACCTACATGGGACTACGTCTTGAAGATGCCACCCTCATATAATGAAAGAGGACAGTAGAGATGGGTTTAAACTTGAATATTTACATGATATTTATTTATTATTTGTATTATATGTTTGTAGAATAGCACAATCAATCAAGCTAATGAATTTATCATCATGTCAACTTTCAAATGATTAAAGATAACTAATCATCAATGAATAAACATTAACATTTTAACAACATCAACTACCATCTTATAGGAGGACTGGGCAGAAAGATTCTCCTTGAAATTTGAGTGATAAAGATCTATCAGTCTATATCAAAGATTGAATTAATCATGATATTTTAATTATAATTATACTATTATATTATCAGTCTATGGACTTCTGTATTTGAAGTTTGTAGATTATTACATTATTGCTGCTTCAAGTATTGTATGTAAGAAGGTTTGAAAGACGACCCTCTAAATGCACTAAATATGGGAACTGCTAATCATCATTGCCTTTTGTATCCAAACTGCTAATTTTAATAGAATCATGTTTTGATACTTCCTAGCTCAAGGAAACGGGGGAGGGGGGCTTGTTATCCTCTTCCTGGTGCTGTTTCTACATGGACCATGTAAAAGGTTGCAAAAGTGTAAACAATATTATATTTGTTATATGTTTATATTAGAAGGATTTAGAAAATGAAAACGTTTTGAATCGTAGAACTACTGTTGCTAGAAGTAATGGCAGTATTGATGTGTAAGGGAAGGGGGTGGTTTTCCCAGTGAAATTAACGGTATGCCAATGTAAAATTAATACAAAAAAGAGAAAACTATTCTTAAAAATAAAATTATAAAGGACATGGGCCTCCTAACTAACTAACCCTGGTACCACTTCTGGGTTGTTGTTGTTGTGTTTTTTTTGGTTTTTTTTTTGGGGGGGGGCAACCCAATTCAAAATTTCCAGTGTTAAATTCCATTGTCTTTAATTAAACAAAAATGATGTCAAGATGTTGAAAACAGTGTTTCACTTTCCGTTTTCAAGTTAGAAAATTTGAATAAAATGATTAACATATTTTCCGATCTCTCTGGTCTCTACATTAAAAATGTTCAAAGCTCCTGCAAAGGCTGCAAAAAGGAAAAGTGAAGATAATCCAAGTGAAATGTGGACAGTAATGGAGTGAATATGGAATTGTTGATCGTAGGTGATAACGAGTAAATGTAAATGAGTGGTATTACGACTGAAAGTGAAACAGAAAGGAACTGCAACAGGTTGTTCAGTCAAGACAACAAACCGTTAGTTGCAGAAGATAATTTACGAAAGACAGAGAAAGAGAGAGAAAGGGAATCATTAAGGTACGTTGAGAGTGGGTGGAGAAAAACCGTCCATTTTGCCACATAATTTGTTTGTCTAAAATAAGGAAACTTTATACATTAGTATATTTAAAATGTATAATCATAGCCAGAGAATGTGTTGTTATATGGCTTATAGCATGTTTGATTTAATAAAACAAAAACAGACCCAGTTATTGATAGACTAAAAAGGGAATAAGATCGAGACATTAAGAATATCAGTATTTCTTATTCAATGAAGTTAAGGCCACTCCCCCATATTTTAAAAAAACAACAACACAACAACGAGAGGAACTTTAAGGTCCACTTCCCAGATGCATCCTGGGTACACCAGCTGTTTTACTGGTGATCGATAATACACGTTCGAGCGCGTATTTCACCTAACGGTGATCGCATCAGAATAGTCCACACTGATTCGCTGAATCACTTGCGTTGCTAGCGCGCAGCGTGATGAATAAATTACCCATAACTCCGTACAGTAGATTATTTGACCTCTCTACTTACGCTGATACACGTATTGTCTTTTACCATGTAGTGAACATCATTCCAGTACACTTTTCGTGGGGAGCATCCTAAAGAATGCATAATTCATAAGGCTCAGGAATTATGCAAGGTAGCTTATTTTGGCTTCTAATGGATCCGGACAAAATGGCGGAGCTTGGGGGGCCTGGTTTAGATCCTACTTATCTAATCGGCACCAAGTAGTGGCCATTCATGATATTCGTTCCAAACTAATGCCTATAACATGCGGTGTTCCTCAGGGAAGCATTTTAGGCCCAATTCTATTTTCAAGTTATATAAATGATATGTGTATTGTATAAAAGACTTCAAACTATTATTGTACGCAGATGACAGCGTACTACTCTATTCAAATCTTGATCCTAAATATTATATTGAGGAAAAGCTGAGTGAACAGCTGTCTACGTGTGTCGATTGCAGCAAGTCTTAAGTGAATCAAGATACTGCCAGAACTGTTAGTTATCTCAACTTTATCTCAACTTTATTATGGTGAACTGATTCAACAAACTTGATAGACTCGGAATATATACCATGTGTTACTTACTGAGGTAAGCTTTTGGTGGAAATATTACTATTGGTTTGTCTGAAAACTAGTTCTCAGATTGATATCTTTGCTGTCATCGAATGTAAATTATTTGTTCAGTCCCATATACTGAACTTTACTGAAGGATATCTGACTTGATAACTGTTTATAAACACGGTAAGCCCTTTGCTACGTGCCTGGAAGTGAAATGGAAACAGTGACAATGGAAGCCTTTCAGAAAGCTCTGCAAAGCGAAACCTATAACAGCATCATTCAAGGGGCTATTCAAACATCTGTGAATAGAGAAATGTGCTCTATTCTTCAACGTCTGGAAATGAATGAATCTAAGATAATGGATCTGGAAGTGTCTTTGAAGATTAAAAAAGCTGAGGTTGTCCAACTCTCCAAACATGTTGAAGAGCAAGCCAACATAATAAAGGCACTTAAGAATGTTGCTAATGATCAGGAGCAGTACTCCAGACGAAATTGTTTGAGAATCTTTGGTGTGTCTGAGAAAAAAGGAAAAAATACGGACGAGATTGTCTGTGAGCTAGCAACAAAAAAGCTAGGTGTGTCACTGAAGATCGGAGATATTGACCGCTCACACAGAGTCGGACCACGGAAACCGGAACAGCCTAACGAACCGGAGCAGTTCAATGGACCGATGGGACCACAAAGGGAAGCAACCACACTATCCGGTAAGGAGACCAAAACACGCCATCGTCCAATAATTTTGAAGTTCGCCTCTTACCGCGCCAGGCGAGCCGTCATCTCACAACGCCGCAAGCTCAAGCAATCGAAAATGGGAATCGAAGAGGATCTTACCAGGACAAACCAAGAGATCCTTCTCAAAACTAGGAATCACAACAAAGTTGTTGCTGCATGGAGCTCCGACGGTCGAATAATAGCTCTCATGAAAGCTACAGGTGGCAATACCATCAAGAAATTGATCAAGAGTCTTGATGATCTCAAGTATCTCTAAAACTCAGAGGGAATACAGTTTTTAATCTTAGCTTTGTTAACTTAAAGGATCAAATAATAAGTATTCAATTACTAAAGGGACTCAAAATTGCACACTTAAACTGCACATCTCTAACCAAGCATCTAGACGAAATAAAATGTATGCTAAAAGAATGTAACTTTGCTATACTTACCTTGAGCGAAACTCATTTGAGCGAATACATTAGTAACGGTGAGATTCAAATTACTGGATATGACATCATAAGAAGGGATCGCAATAGATCAGGAGGTGGTGTGGCAGCTTATATAAAGCATGGCATCACATATACACAGATAGATGATATTGTGCCTAACAATTATCTTGAAATTATTACTCTTGAAGTTAAATTTGGAAGGTACAAATCATTTTATGTGATTGATTAGTACAGACCGCCAAATGTAAAGGCTGAATGTTTTGATATGTTTGCAAATATCCTGCAAGCTATAGATGACTTAAATAAAGAATGCATTATTATGAGAGACCTAAATTGTGATGTGTTACCCCTACCTAAGTCTTGGCAAACTAATAGGCTGACAGACATCTCTGAATTATATAATTATAGTCAATTAATTACTGCACCAACTCGAGTTACTAAAACTACTTCCACTGCTGTAGATCTGATTCTTACTAATACTCCATTAAAGATAAGGCATTCGGGTGTTCTTGAAATAACCATTAGTGACCATTACTTAATTTTCTGTGAATTTGGAAATGATCGACCACATAATGCATATCATAAATATCATGTTGGTAGAAATTTCAAGAGGTTTGATGAAACACATTTCAAGGAAGATGTTCAGGATATAAACTGGGATGCAGTTCACAGCGAACTAAATCCCGACCAAGCTTGTGACATCCTAATAACTAAATTGGTTAATGTTATAAATAAGCATGCACCATTACGTGAAAAAAGGGTGAAGAATAAAGACTCACCGTGGATGACACAAAATATCCTACAAAAGATTAAAGA